GGCTGGACACAGTGGCTCACACCTGTAATCTCAGTACTTTGGGAGACCAAGGTGGGAGGATTGCTTGAGGTCAGGAGCTCAAGATCAGCCTGGGCAAGGCAACATAGTGAGATTCCTTCTCTACAAAAAAAGAAAAAGAAAAAATCTCAAGGCTCCTAATGGAAAATTTTCTCTGATCCCCATTGCAAAGTTTCGTTTTATATCAATTCCAAGGCCCCACTATAGATATGCTCATTTGGTGGGCCCGGGAAATTTATCTGTAGGTATAAAATTACCTCTTGTGAATCCCAAACTTGGAGTCCACTAGCCTTGGTTTCGGAGACTGGTTACAGCCTTTATATATCTGTAATCCATACAGTCAAATTGTGCCATCTGGATTTGAAATAATCAGAGGGAGGAGTGGGAACTAGTCAGGTCCTGTAACTATGCTGCGCAGAAAGGAGTCTGACATCTCTTTTTTTACCCTCTCAAACCTACCTTCTGGAGCAGAGAGGGACTTCAGAGAACATGGCTGGTTTTTACACAGCCATCTGAGGTCTGCATAGTAGTGGGGGTATGAAGCACGTATGTGGCCAGAGAGAGGGTATGGCACATAGCCCTCTCAAAAAATAACAGAAGGAAAATTTCTAATAGCTAGAGTGCTTACTTACGTATTACTAGTCTGAAAATTACAAACTTCTTGTAGTGTTTGAATGAGAAACCAGCCAGAATCACTTCTTTATTCTAAAAACAGCCACTATGATGGTTAATATTAGGTGTCAACTTGACTGGATTCTGAGATGCCTAGATGGCTGGGGAAGCACTGTTTCTTTGAGTGTCTGTGATGACAGAAAAGGATGACATTTCAGTCACGGGTGGGCTGCGCGAGAGGAAGACCCACCCTCAATGTCAGTGGGGCATCACCTAGTCAGCTGCCAGCACAGCTAGAAGAAAGCAGGCGCAAGAAGGGGGATTAAGAGCTTGCTGGGTCTCCTTGTCTCTTCCATGCCAAGGGCTTTGCTTCCTCTATTCTGCCTTTAGACATTCTAGGTTCTTCGGTCTTTGGACTCCTGGGACTTGCACCCAGCAGCCTCCTAGAGGTTCTAGGGCCTCTGGCCTCAGACTGAGGCTGCACTTTAGTTTCCCTGGTTTTGAGGCTTTCAGACTTGGGGACCTGCAGCCATCACTCGGACCAGCTCTCCTCTTTTGCAGCTTGCAGATGGTCTATGGTGGGACTCTGCCTTAAGCCAATTCTCCCTAGTAAAATTCCTTTTATATATACATACATCCTATTTATTCCATTCTTCTGGAGAAAGAACCCTAATATAGCTACTTAAAGAAAAGCAGATTGAACGATTTTTTTCCCACTCTGAACAAAGAAAGTAAGCAAAAAGAAAAAAAAAATGAGTGATATTTATAAGAATAGCAGATGTTTATTGAAGGAATTATCACTATTTCCTGTGAAAACAATTTCATGACTCCAGTTTTGTAACATCAGAGGCTATTAAAGACAGTCTAGTGACTAAAAACAACCTGACAATATGGGCATCTTTTAAATTTTATATTAAAGGGAAAAACAATCAAGAAAGGAAGTCTTGCTGAGGGTACAGAGCCGCAATGAAATTTAGTCTTAAGGGATTTAGATTCAACAGCTACTAATTAATCCTAATTACTCAGCTACTTAAAGCTGTTTTTTACTTCAATTTTCTTCCAAGACAGACCTAACACAGGACATACCATCTATGAAAAAAGATTTCTAAGTCCAGGGCGACACTTTCCTCTCTAAGCAGGATTCTTTGTCTTACATATTGCCCTCTAATCAAGGCTATATAAAATGAGATTTTCGTATTTTCCTCTCAACTAAAAAGAGCATATATATTTTGATTCTACACAGGAGCAATTCTATATAACCAGGATGTCTGTGGCTAAAATTATTACCTCTTTATATTCCTCAGGATATTCAGCGTACTAAAATAATAAGTGAATAAATGTGAGTAGACAAGAAACCAAATAACAAGAATGAGCAATACACAGTAGTTTAGTGATGTGTACTTCAAAAGCACTGGGTTGCGTTTTTGTGGGTTTTGTTTTGCTTTGTTCTGTTTTTGAGACAGAGTCTTGCTCCGTGGCCTAGGCTGCAGTGCAGAGTCGTGATCATAGCTCACTGTAACAATGAACTCCTGGGCTCAAGTGATCCTCCCACCTCAGCCTCCTGAGTACCTAGGACTACAGGAGTATGCAACCAAGACTGATTAGAGCTAAGTTTCTGATGAAGAGAGAAGAAATGGCAGTACAGAGAGGTACATGACTTGAGAGACACATAAACTAGCAACTGAGGAATGCAGACTAAGGACTGCCCTTGGGGAACAGCCAGGTTTCCATTGGAACAAGAATGTGAAGAAAACACATTCATTCAAGACCAGCCTGACTAACATGGTGAAACCTCGTATCTACTAAAAATACAAAAAATTAGCTAGGTGTGGTGGCAGGCACGTGTAATCCCAGCTACTCGGGAGGCTGAGGCAGGAGAATCGCTTGAACCCAGGAGGCAGAGGTTGCAGTGAGCCAAGATCGTGCCATTGCACTCCGGCCTGGGCGACAAGAGCAAAACTCAATCTCATAAATAAATAAATAAATAAATAAATAAATAAATAAATAAAGCCAGACGCGGTGGTTCACGCCTGTAATCCCAGCACTTTGGAAGGCTGAGGAAGGCAGATCTCCTGAGGTCAGGAGTTCAAGATCAGCCTGGCCAACACGGTGAAAAAACCCCATCTATACAAAAAATACTACAAAATTAGCCAGGCGTGGTGGCAGGTGCCTGTAATCTCAGCTACTCAGGAGGCTGAGGCAGGAGAATTGCTTGATCCTGGGAGCCGGAGGTTGCAGTGAGCTGAGAGCTAAGATTGCACCACTGCACTCCAGCATGGGCGACAGTGCGAGATTCTGTCTCAAAACAAACAAACAAACAAACAAAAAAACACATTCAAAGAGACAGTTCCTGGTTTCCAGAGGGTATTATGAAAGGGCTTGAAAGGATGGTAAGAGCTGCATGCCTAAACTCTGACTGAGGTAAAAGATGGTAGCCCTGGGAGACTCCTAGAGAAAGGTGAGTGATCAGTTCAAATTATAGCAGAATGTTTATCTGAAAGGATGCAGGGACCTGTTGTCCCTGTTATTCCCACAGCTCAAGGCAGGTATTAGCCTAGAAGATGGGTGATGGCCTCCTCAAGGGACTATAATCCTCACTTGCCTGGGGCAAGAAATATAAAGCTCTCCTATATTCAGATCTCTAGGTATGAGATGGCATCATATCCTTCCTTGAAGATATATACTGTTGAAGATCATAAAGTCTTCTAAGACAAAAAAGAAAGCCTATCTAAAGAAAGTTTTAGGCACTATGACCTGGTGATGAAAAAATGTTTTGGTCAGAGAATATCTGCTCAGCAATATATAAAGCATCAACAATTCTGCTCAAGAATAATATACCAGGTTTGTCCCATGAATGCTGCAAATCTGTCCCAGGCCCTCCAAACCCTGCTTGCAATGACCACACAAAGAACTATTATATCACAAATTATGTGCAAACCACTATCCTATCAAAATAGGACAAAGTAAGTAATTTTTTTTCATACAAATATACGACCTTCACCCTTCACTTCTTTCTTTCCAGTAACAGCAAAAAGAAATATATATGCCTTAAAACTAAATTACGAGGTACAGAGATAGGCCATAAATCTCATTCACAGAACACTGATAGCATCTTCCCTATAAAACCATGGTCAAATAATTGTTAGATACAATCACCTTTCATAGAGGCAGCTACCCGGGAAAATGCCAACTGGTCTCCCACTCGCATTACAGAACCATCATGGTGGGCAGAGGCACTTTGGTATAATGAAGAAAGCATGAATTTCAAAGTCAGATCTGAGCTCAAATCCTGGCTCTGACAACTTAGTGGCCAGTCACCTAACTTCACTGACACTCAATTTTCTTGTATTGTAGTGGGAGGACTAAATAATGTATTATCAAAAATTCCCCAAACAATAATTCACTATGTGCATAAGACAGACAGCAGTGGGCTTAGGGATTCACTGTATACCCAGAGGAATGGCTGCGTTAAAAATAGGGAGATTCTAAGTATTCCAGATTGACTTTGAGCTAAGCATTTAAAATGTTTTAAATATTGGTGGAAGATAGGCTGAGACCTTCAAGGAGGGCTGGTCATAAAGAAAGGCAGAGGAAGATAGAAAACATCTGTTATACTGATTGCTCAACACCCCTCCCTCCCTTCTTCAGGGTGATTTTTCTCAGTGACAGAAGGAACAAACCAGATGAGAAAGCCTCAGCTCCTTTTCCACTTCCCAATTTGAAGGAGTTGTGTGAAGGCAAGATGCAGTTGTGGCCACTGTATTGCCATCATGAGGTTATGAAAAAATGAAAATCAATATGCTGAAAATTATGAAGAGAGAAGTTTGATGAAGTGCTGAGTTGCCAAACCAAACATAGCACTGCTTACCTCTAGATTTCCCCTTAAGCAATCAGTCAATGTTCTTAAGGTCTAGGCTGCTAGTACTTGGTATTCCGTTCATTACATCTGAAAATATCCCAAGTACTACCTTACACAAAAATTCTCTTTAATCACTCTCCCTAAAGTGTTTAGAAACACTGCTCCAATGTCCTATACTTAAGATTTTATCATTTACCATCTGTCTGGCTTACCATATATTTCATGCATTACTCACTTAATCCTTACAACAACCTTGTAAGGTAGGTAATTATTCCTTTTTTTTTTTCTTTTTTCTTTTGAGACGGAGTCTCGCTCTGTCGCCCAGGCTGGAGTGCAGTGGCCGGATCTCAGCTCACTGCAAGCTCCACTCCCGGGTTCCCGCCATTCTCCTGCCTCAGCCTCCTGAGTAGCTGGGACTACAGGCGCCGGCACCACGCCTGGCTAATTTTTTGTATTTTTTAGTAGAGACGGGGTTTCACCGGGTTAGCCAGGATGGTCTTGATCTCCTGACCTCGTCATCCGCCCGTCTCGGCCTCCCAAAGTGCTGGGATTACAGGCTTGAGCCACCGCGCCCGGCCAATTATTCCTTTTTTACACACAGGTCTGAGGCTCAGAGCAGTTAAGTGACTTGTCCAAAACTGATAAGCTAGTTCATGGCAGAACTGGGGTTAGAACATGGATCTCTCCAACCCCAAAGTTTGTTCTTTTAGCCTTTCAGCTCTCTATACCATGTGAAGGCAGAGTCTCCCACTAGTTTTATATGTATCTAACGTTTTTGAGTCTACAATTGTTTCAATTTCAGTTTTTTCTGGTTGTCTAGACATATATTGAAAAGATGAAGCCTAGGTTGTTTTCCATCATCTGCAGATCCTTCCACAACTGTGGGAAAGGAGGGTTCAGTGAATTTTTGCTGTGTTCTTTTAACCTAACAGTGTTATATTTTGTTGACAACTCTAAAGTCAGCTTGTCTTAAAACTAAAAAAGACAAAGGATTGGTGTTTATGATTTTACTAAACAGGAAACATGCTCTAAAAGGAAGGGACTTGCTTGCGGTTCCACTGCTGCTAAATGCCAATGTCAGGGCGTAATCCCAGGGCTTCGGGCTCTATATACTATGTGCCTTTCATAACACTGCTGAGTGAAAATGAGCATGTCTTCATTGCATTTAAAAAATACTGTGCTTTTTTTCTTGAATATAAAATTAGTATATTCTCATGTAGAAAATCTAGAAAGCATAGAAAAGTACACAGAAGAAAATAGAAGTCACCTATAATCCTATCACCCAGAGATGATCACTGTTAACATTTTGGTTTACTTCCTTCCCAATTTTTCCTATGCATAAATATTTTTTTAAATTTTGGATTGTATGTCATTGTTTTATCTTCCATCTTATCCAAATCATTTCTCCATGGCATTAAATTGTCTTTAAAAATGTTTATAATGGCTGCAGAACCATCACACGGATAGCTCATCATTCATTTCAACCCTGTAATGCTAAAAATCTGGTTTTCTTCTTTCAGTCATATATGATGCTGCCATGAACATCCCTTTCATTAATCTTTGCCTACTTCTAATTATTTTCCCTGTATGATTCTTAGAAGTAGACTTAAAAAGTTGATACTAAAGAGCCACTTTTTAGAAAAGCAGCAGTCAGCCCTACTACCCACAATATTTGTTACCTACAAGGTTTCTTTCTCCTCACTATGTTTTCTCTGGTGTTGAATAAGCTGTGAGCTATACCGATAGGCTTTCCCACACTCACTACATTTATAGGGTTTCTCCTTAGTGTGGGTTCTCAAGTGTAGAATAACTTGAGAAGTCTGCCTGAAGGTTTTCCCACATTCATTACATTTATAGGGTTTCTCTCCAGTGTGAACTCTCTGATGATCAACAAGGTTTCGATTAGAAGTAAAAGCCTTCCCACACTCATTACATTTGTAAGGTTTCTCTCTACGATGAAGTCTCTGGTGTTCATTAAGGGTTTTCCTTAAGATGAAAGCTTTTCCACACTCATCACATTCATAAGGCTTCTCCCCAGTGTGAATTCTCTGATGGTCCATAATCTTTGTATTTGAACCACATGTTTTCCCACACTCCTTACATTTGTAAACTTTTTTTCCTCTGTGCATTTGCCGATGTTGAGTAAGGTTTGAACTACGGCTAAAGGCTTTCCCACACTCAATGCAAGTATAGGGCTTCTCTCCAGTGTGAACTCTGTGATGTGATATAAGGCCCGAACTCCGACTAAAGGCTTTCCCACACTCTTTACATTCATACGTTTTCTCCCCACTGTGGATTCCCTGGTGCCGAATAAGATGTGACTTTCCACTGAAAGATTTCCCACATTCACTGCATGTATAGGGCTTCAGTCCAGTGTGGATTCTCCGATGAACAACAAGGTTAGAGCTATGGCTGAAGGCTTTTCCACACTCCTTACACTTATAGGGTTTCTCTCCCGTGTGGATTCGCTCATGTACCGTGAGGTTTGCACTCTGACTAAAGGCTTTCCCACACTCAGTACATACATACTGTCTCTTTTCAGCCTGAACTCTCTTGTTTGTTGCAGGGTCATAGCACTGACGATCGTCTTTTTCAGATTCTTGGTCACTCCCTTCTGTGAGTACTTTATTGTCTTTAACTGTCTTATGTTTGAAATTTCTTGTTTTTCTCCTCATTTTCTCCTGCTTGGAACATACCAGTGTCCTCTCTAGTCTTCTCTTTCCCTTCAGAGGAGCCTTCTAAATTTTGACTTCCTGGGCAACGTCTCTGTGGAATTCTCTTGAAAGTATGTACCTTTCAGGAATGATGCTTTGGAATTAACTCCGCCTCAGTCCCAGTTTCACCATCTGACAGGAGAAACAGAAATTGCACATGTCACCTATTCTCTGTACCAGAGGAAGGAGAACTATCCATGGACCAGATGTGGTAGACATATGGAAGGGTTAAGTGTTCAAGGGCAGGGGAACAGAGCAAAAAGATGACAAAAATGAAGTTAAACATAGAAGCCAATGTAAAGGCTTATGGAAAGCCAGGGCTGAGGGGAGCCCAACAGGTCCAGGATCAGAATAAGCAATGAATCGTATAAAATCCACCCTAGTTCCTTCCTGCCTCATCTTCTACTCCCTGAATTGGAGCCATCTAGCTCCCTTTTTTTTTTTTTTTCTTTTGAGATGGAGTTTTGCTCTTGTTGCCCCCGGCTAGAGTGCAATGGCCTTATCTCGGCTCACTGCAACCTCCGCTTCCCAGGTTAAAGCGATTCTCCTGCCTCAGCCTCCCTAGTAGCTGGGATTACAGGCGCCCGCCACCACGCCCAGGTAATTTTTTGTATTTTTAGTAGAGATGCGGTTTCACTATGTTGGCCAGGCTGTCTTGAACTCCTGACCTCAGGCAATCCACCTGCCTCAGCCTCCCAAAGTGCTGGGATTACAGGCGTGAGCCACTGCGCCCAGCTCAGAGCCATCTAACTTCTAATGGCAGGCTCAACTATAATCTGGCCCTAGAAAAAGTGAACTGAAAGATGACTGAACTTTAGATCCGTTTGGCTTTTCGTTCTTGCTAACCTATTCCCCTAGTACTAGTGATACTGTAGTTAGGATGTAAAAGGTGCTCAAAATGGTTTTATAGAATAGCAACTAGGATTCTGTCTTAGGCTGTAAGTAGGTTTTACTTACTTACCTTTTGCTCAAGGTCCAGGTACTAGATCCCAGTTTACATCCTTGCATGTAAGCCCTATCTTGTTAAGTGGTGACACAATTCTTCCAATATTGAGCCTAGTCACATCACAGCCTACTTCACAGGCGCTGGCCTGTAGCTGGATCCAGTTTTATATGCAAGTTTAGTCTGTCTGCTTTTCACCATGCTGTCACTCTGACAGACTGAGACTACTTAAGGGGTGAATCTGAGAGTCTAAATTGGGAAAGAAGGTTAGTTAAAGCATGGCAGACAAAACTCTGATAGGATCTTGCATGGCATAATAGTAAAGTATTTAAGGATGGCAAAAGCATCAGAGTAGGGGCAGGATAACCAAGAGATGCCAATACATGAAACCAAACATCAGAATAAGCAGGGATTTCCCAACTGGTTTGATGTGAAACTCTGGACATACAGGTAACCATGGGACCTTAGAGGGAGTTGGGATGTAAAATAAAGCAAAAAGATAACTACATGATACTAACACATGACTATTTTCCTTACTATGGTCCTTTATAGACTTGCCCACATGTATATTGTCAGACAGTTAAATATATGGTAGATATTTCGCATCCTACTTCTTGCAGTTCATTTATTTATTTTTTAGTTGATAAAAAAAGTATATATATATTTATGGCATACAACATGTTTTGATAAATGTTTACACGTGGAACAGGTAAATCAAGCTAATTAATATATCCATTACTTCACATACTTATTATTTTTTGGTGGTAAGAACATTTAAAATCTCTCTTAGCACTTTTCAAGTCTAAATATGTTGATATTAACTATAATTACCATGTTATACAATAGATTTCCTGAAATTATTCCTCCTGATAGAAGTTTTGTATCCTTTGATCAACATCTCCCTAATCATTGCCTCACTTTTTTTTTTTTTTTTTTTTTTGAGATGGAGTCTCGCTCTGTCACCCAGGCTAGAGTGCAGTGGTGCAATCTCAGCTCACTACAACCTCCACTTCCTGGGTTCAAGCAATTCTCCCTGCCTCAGCCTCCTGAGTAGCTGGGATTACAGGCATCTGCCACCGCACCTGGCTAGTTTTTATATTTTTCAAGTAGAAATGGGGTTTTGCCATGTTGGCCAGGCTGGTCTTGAACTCCTGACCTCAGGCGATCTGCCTGCCTCCGTCTCCCAAAGTGCTGGGATTACAGGCGTGAGCCACTGCGCCCGGCCTCCACTTAATTTTTATGCATATTTTTCCACATTGCTATTTAATCTTCATATGATCAGTGAATTCCTTGTAATTTCCTTCCATTTTGCTAGTGTTGGACATTTCTGTTGTTCCTTGAAGTTAACTACTATCAATAATGCTATCGTAATCTCTTTATACACACAAAATTTCCTTCCTATTAAAATATATTCCTAGGACAAAAGTTCTACAAATGAGTTAATTGGGTCAGAAGGAGTGCAACTGTTGTGCAGTATTGCTTGTTGCTATTCAAAAAAGTTTGATGGGCTGAGCATGGTGACACACATCTGTAATCCCAGTACTTTGCAAGGCTGAGATGGGAGAATTGCTTGGGCTCAAAAGTTTGAGACCAGCCAGGGTAAGACAGGGAGACTAGAACTCTACAAAAAATTTAAAAATTAGTTAGGCATGGTGGTGTGCACCTGTAGTCTCAGTTACTCAGGGGGCTGAGGTGGGAGGATTGCTTGAGCCCAGGAGGTCCAGGCTGCAGTGAGCCCTGATTATGCCACTGCACTTCAGCCTAGGCAAAAGAGCAAGACTTTGTCTCAAAAAAAAAAAAATTTTGACCAATTCCCATTGTCCCATAGCTTTCTGATAAATGGAGTCACACTTTCTGGAGAAGGGAAATAGCAAATGGTGGTACTCGAGATTGGCAAAAAGATAACTGCACATATTCAAGTTCACATCTCAGAAGTGCAGGTGCCCAAGGATTCTATTCACAGGCACATATACACAAACTCATGCCCAAGATATGAGGGATAGGACAAGAGAATGGTGAGGCAGGGTGGATTCTTGCCAGGATCCTGGGCTCACCCACATTCAGCTGCTGCTACTTCTCCTAATCATAAAGGATGAGGCAAGTGGAGAAAACAGTGCAAAGCCAGGGGACTGCAATGCAGAGCAGGAGAACAAGTGAACTCACCTTCAAAGTTCTGTGAGAAAGTTGATAGTTTTTTTCTGAATTTCTTTTCAATTTCTAATCTTCTCTGGAACTTCTCTTTTCTTCATACATTTCTTAAACTCATAACTAATGAGCACCCTACTCTGTATATATCCCTGTTCTGGGTCTAACACAGGGAAAATTTAAAGAAGCATTGTTACGGACTGAATGTTTGTGTCCCCCTAACATTTGCATGTTAAAGCTCTAATCCCCAATGTGACTGTATTTGGAGACGGGGCCTCTAAGGAGATAATTAAGGTTACATGAGGTCATAAAGGTAGGCCCTGATCCATCAAAATTAGTGAGTTTATAAAAAGAAACACAAAAAAGCTCTCTCACATGCTCTCCCTCTCTCCACACACATGCACACAAAGGCCATGAGAATACATAGCAAAAAGATGGCCAGCTACAAGCCAGAATGAGAGCCCTCTACCAGAAACCGAAATGATGAGGCACATGGATCTCATACTTCTAGGCTCCAGAACCGTGAGAAAATAAGTTTCCGTTGTTTAAGCCACTCAGTTTATGGCATTTTGTTATGGTAACCCAAACAGACTAATACAAGCATGAAATATCATACTCCCTTTAAAGAGCTTACAATGGAGTAGTATGGCAAAACAATAAGAGAGCAAATTCAAATTTACAATTTACGCAAGCAGGAGATGAAGGGGACTAGGAGAGGGAGGGAGCAATTACCAAGGCATGGAATGATGGAGAAAAGCATTTTAAAAAGGCAGAATTTAGGCTGAGCCCTGGAGAATAAGCAGTGTTTTCTCAAAAAATAAATAAATAAAAATAAAAAGGCACAGAGTTGATATACATGAAAATAAATGGGAGATCATAATATTATATAAGCTTCATGTAGGCAGGGATTTTGTCCACCCTGCTTACCCTGTATTCCTAGCACTACAATAGTCCCAGGCACATGGTAAGTGCTCAACACTTGTTGTTGGAATGAACAAAATAAGAAAGAATCAAGCTGCCTGAAGTGATTCCAACCAGAATACTGAAATTACAAGATGAAAAATATAGATATAAACTGATGGTCAAAGGGAAACCGGTTCTAAACAGAAGAGTGAAATCTATCCTTAATTTTCTTTCTTCATTCTATATTCTTTTTTTCTACCTTGCTATTTTCCACTCTTGTTATTTTCCTTCTTTTTCTCACTTAACAATATAGTTTTTCAAGCATTATCATGCACTTCCCCTAGTTCCCACAGTTCCTCTCCTACCACCTCCCAGAACATTCACGTTTCTCTCAGCTTAATGAAATGGAAAACAGAGGAGAGAGGCAGCTGGGATAACCCATAGGGAGTAAATTGAGGGAAATGGAAAGGAAAGAATCCAAGAGATGTCAAGTAGGGCAATCATACATCCTGGTTTTCCCAGAATAGTGCTAGTTTAGGCCTACTATCCCTGCATATTTAATAGTGGCCCCCTTAACTCACAAAAGTATCCCCGTTTGGACAATAAATTTTGCATTACCCTACCCAAAAGTTAAATTAGCAAAAGAACTCTTTAGGAAGATTAGCCCAGATGGATTAGAGGGGGTTAAAAAGAAAAAAGGAAGGGAAATGAATTAGGAGACAACACTAGGAATGCAGTAAGAGTGAACACTGGAGGGTCTGGCACGTTGTAGGTACCCAACACATGTTTTTGAATGAATGAACAAATGAAGAAGATAGCAAGACCCTAATCCAAGATGAGAGAACAGAGAACAATGAAGTCTAGCTATTTTCAGGAACGCATCCACATGTATAACGCACACATCCATATATCCTTTGAATACAGAGGATGGACTGAAGCAAACAATCCAAGGTCATCAGATCCATGTCTGAATACCAAGAATGGTAGCGTCACTAAGCAAGATAGGGACACACAGAAACATTTTAGACAAGGGGAAGAGGAATATATCACGAAGGCAAATTTGAGAATGATAAGACAGAAAGGACAGAGGAAGTCATGAAAATGTATAAACTTACTGAGGGCTGGGCACAGTGGCTCACTTCTATAATCCCAGCACTCTGGTAGGGTGAGGTGGGAGGTCTGCCTGAGCCCAGGTGTTTGATCAGCCTGGGTAAAAAAATTTTAAAAAGTGAGCCAGGTGTAGTGGCACATGCCTGTGGTCCCAGCTACTTGGGAGGCTGAGGGAGGTTGAGGCTGCAGTGAGCCATGATCACGCCACCACACTCCAGCCTGGCAGACAGTGAGACCTTGTCTCAAAATAAATAAATACATTAAAAAAATAAAAAACAGATAATCTTACTGAGAAAGGGATTTGGGTTAGAAGAGTGATATCATTTAGATGTTCCCTCCAAATCTCACATTGAAATGTAATCTTCTATGTTGGAGGTGGGGCCTGTTGGGAGGTGACTGGATCATGGGGGTAGATTTCTCATGAATGGCTTATTGCCATCCTCTTGTTTCTGCCCTTGTGATAGTGAGTGAGTTCTCGTGAGATCATGTTGTTTAAAAGTGTGTGGTATCCCTCCGCCTTGCTCTTGCTCCTACTCTCACTGTGCTCTGCCTCCTCCCATTTTACACTCTACTATGCGTAAAAGCTTCCTGAGGCCTCCCCAGAAACTGAACAGATGCTGGCACCATGCTTCCTGTACAGCCTGCAGAACCATGAATCAGTTTAAACTCTTTTCTTTACAATTTACCCAGTCACAGGTATTTCTTTTTTTTCTTTTTTCTTTTTCTTTTTTTTTCTGGGACGAAGTTTTGCTCTTGTTGCCCAGGCTGGAGTGCAATGGTGTGATCTTGGCTCACCGCAACCTCTGCCTCCTGGGTTCAAGTGATTCTCCTCCTAAGTAGCTGGGATTACAGGCATGCGCCACCATGCCCAGCTAATTTTTTGTATTTTTAGTAGAGACAGGGTTTCTTCACGTTGGTCAGGCTGGTCTCGAACTCCCAACCTCAGGTGATCTGCCCGCCTCGGCCTCCCAAAGTGCTGGGGTTGCAGGGGTGAGCCACCCACCCGGCTAGTATTTCTTTATAGCAACCTAAGAACAACCTAACACAAAGGGGCAGGTAGGGAGAAAGAGAAATGCACAGTAATGCATTGTGAGAAAGCCCAGGGTGGTGATGGCGGAGCTGAGGAGGAAGCAGGACCAGACAGGAGATCAAAGAGGGCCAAATGAGGAGAGTTTGATCAAAAAGAAACCCGTTTGCTGCCTTCTGCCTGATTGAATAGGAAATTCCCTCAGAAATCCTGGAAGAATTCCTAGGTACTAAGGAAGTAGGGTCTTGGCTGGGGAAGTTTGGAAGGAAACATGAGGTCATGGGCTAGTAGGACACTAGGGGTATCTGTACAGTTGTACAGAAAAGCAAAATCTCAGATAGCCAGTGAATGTATGAGGACTGATAAGGCCCTGCAGATCTCTAACCCACAAATCTCTGAGACTGGTAGGTAAGTTTTCTAATCCTACGACCACCATCCATTTCAGGCTGTGACAAATACATAAAGGGTAGAGTCCTACTGAGAGAGAGAGAGAGAGAGAGAGAGAGAGAGGCTTTACTTGGAGGCTGTCTTCCTTTAATTCACCAGCATCATCTGCCTGTTCAAGTCCCTCTAAGCAATGGTTACATGGTCCTTGGTTATTGATTAGGTGCAATGGAGTAAGGAATAAGAGGGAATACCTGAAAATGAATTCAAGGGACGGATAAGTGAAATGTAAACATTGAAAGAAAAAAAAGAATTAGAAGAAAATATCAAGGGACTACTTGATCTCAGGGAAAGGCCTAAGCCTCAAACATAAAACAAAAGCTAACACCATGTGAAAAAGCTGATATATCTGACACATAAAAATTTCTGTATTCCAAAAAAATGCCACAATAAATCTATAATATAGAGTTTGCCTTATACTGGAATTGTTTGTGTGTATGTCTGTGTCCTTCCTCACACGCATACATTAAACTCTACGCCCTCAGACAGCAGATCCCGTGAGATTTGCCTGTAGCTACTACACAGTGTCTGACACAAAGAGGGCTCAGTCAGCGTTGTTTGATTTGAAATGGTAAATTAAACACGTTTAAGATTCTATCTAACACCTGGAGTGCACCTAGGGATGCTGAGAGCCAAATCCGCACATCACTACTACCATCCCTCCTCTACATGTGTGTCCTTGTTGTGCTTCATATTATTGGGAAACACCATAATGGTGTGTTTGCATTCTTGGTAATTCTGTCTCAACAGAGCCATCCCAGGGACTAAATTCCCTAAGAGACTGACCTGGTCCCACTATTCAGAGACTCTCAGTATGTCAGAGCTGGAAGGCACCTCCCAATCTATCCAGTCTTACATCCAAATGCACGGAAGGAAAACTTGGAAATTAGAGGAAAACTGGGACTCAAATCCAAGTCCCATGACACCCAATTTTGAGTTCTACCACATCACCCTTATTCCCATCTCAAACAAAACTCTACTCCTCAAGGTCCAGAGGCCCCCTGCCCACTTCAGTGCCTTTCTCCTATTTGACAAATAACCACTGAGAAAAGCTTCCTTTCAACCCTGGTGCCCACAAGCAGGATTCCTGTGCCCAGACCAACTTCACAATCTAGGTCTCACCTGCCCAGGAGAGAATGGAACGACTCACCCATATTCCTGTGCACAGCAGCCTCAATCCAAAGGATCTGCCCAGCACAGATCTTGCCTGATCTCCTCCTTGAGTTCAGTGAAGAAGTTCCTAAGAGGGTCTTGAGTCACTGTAAACAGATATAAATGACTGAGTTCTCTGAGACCTGAACTCCAAGTGGACACTCAGGGCAGTGTCCCATCTTTGGGTAACTTCCCTTCCTATAGAACTGTGGGCAGTAAGAAGGATCATTTCCAGTGTAAAGATGAGGGAAGGAAGTTCCCAGGGATTGAACGACTTGCCCAGGGTCCTATAGCTAGTGAGTGATTAAAAAGCCTTCTGTGTCTGCAGGAAATCCTAATTCCATCACACCACAGCCTCCCCTTTTCACCCACTCCATCGATAGCTAAAAGCTTCCATATTCTCATCTAACTGCAAAATACAGTGCAGTGGAGAACTTCTTTGCAATCCAGCTTTCCACAGAAAGTCTGCACAAGGGGTATGAGAGAGAGAACTCTGCTGAGTCAAGTGTCTTTAGGAAGACAGAAAGAAACAAGGCTTTAAAAGAGCACTACAAAAAGCATGTTTCTTTTTTTCTGTTTACCCATTTCTTAGGATTACTAAGCCTCAAATGTTTTCTGTTTCCCCCTCCAGATCCCCAGACCCTGCTTCTAACCCTTCAAGCTTGTTCCATTTCTCCCCTACCAGAATTTAGTTCTGCCCCGTACACAACCATAACTCCAGGACCTAGCACACTACTAGGTTAGTGCTCAATAAATATTTGTTGAATGAATGAATGAATGAATGAATGAGTAACCTTGGGCAAGACTCCGTTCTCCTCTCTGGGCCCCGGGTTCCTCACTGGTAACGGAAGGGATATTGGACTGGTGATGTGAGTCAAATACTCAGGGGCTCTGGAGTCCTCTGAGAGCCTCGGCAGGACTCGACCGCTGTTACCCGGACGGCCCACTGCTTAGGAGCGGGGACGACACAGTGCTGTCACCACGGCCAGCCTGGTCCAAGCGAGCAGCTACGAGGAGTCGGAGACTAGACTCGAGACAAAGGGGCAGCAGTGAACGAGAGAAGGGGGAGGCCCACAACCCTTTGGCTGCCGCGCCCATCTCAGAAGTGGGCAGCCGCAGAGGAGCCCTGGCCTCCCGGCCTGCGTCTCCCACACGCTCCCAGAACCCGGCCCGACCCCCCATGTCAGGCTGTAGAGCACCCCTCACCGAAAGCGCCAGACCCACATCTTGAACAAAGCGCAGAAGGAACTGCGTCAGCAACTCCTAGCTAACTCCCAGCCTCTCCCTCCGGCCCTTCTAGGCTTCATGAGGTTTCCACATCTCTGTGCCCGCGGGTTGGAGTCCCCCCGCCCCTCAGCAGCCCCGCGCGGTCGGCCGGCGTTCTGGCCCTGCCTCCCTTCCGGGCTTTGCCCTATCATTGGATGAAAGGGCTTGGCGACTTCAGCCAATGTGAGGAGGGCCCTGGAAAGGGTGGAAGCTGGGCAGGGTGCTTGCTTAGGGCGGAAAGAGACCCAGCAGCTGCGTGGCCAGGCTGAGACTCCCTGAAGTTACACCCCCAGCTCCGGTTGCTGAGCAGAGAGGTCATCTTTCCTTCCACAGATCTGGGTCATTCAGCCTCAAAGCCAGGATCAGCTATGGTTTATTGGCAGCATATGAAAAGATGTTTTGGGTGCCTACTATGTCACTCACTGTTCCAGGCGCTGCGGATACCGTAGTGAAGAAAATGAACTCTCTGCCCCATTGAGTTTACATTCAAGTCAAGGGAGACAATGATAAATAAATATGCAGAACGTAGTAGTAAGGGGAGAGAGGGAGATTGTAGTGGGACTATTTTATAGATGACAGGGAGGGCAGAGACAGAAGTGGGCCATTGAAGCATGTGGCTATCTGCGGAAAGAGTATTCCCATAGTGGGCTATTAGAAGCAAATTCTTTAATCAGGAGTCGGGTGGAGAGGTGCACATTAGGACCTTGTAGACTATGATAAGGGCTTTGGATTTGCTCTGCATAACAGTTGGAGGGCTTGGGGGCAGAGGAATGACATGATCTAACTTTTTTCCCCTCACCACATATTCAAAGACGTGTAAGCTATGAGACATGAAAGAAGCCAAGAAGCCTGTTACTATAAATTCTGTGAATTCTTTGCTGTCTGTCCTTAGCCATTCTAACATAAACCTTGCATGAGTTTTGCTCTTTGACTTATATTTTTAGTTTGCATTGGCTGTCCTGTTGAGAACGGTCTGAAGGTGGGTAAGAGTAGAAGCAGGGAAATTAAGAGGCCATTACAATATTCCAGATGAGGAATGATAGTGGCTTGGACAGGCTTAGAAGTGATGGAGGTAGGGAGAAATGGTTCTGCATATATTTTGAAGGCATGGCCTGCATGATTTGCTAATAAATTGAATGTTCGTTACTGATGACTCCATGGTTATTGATCTGAGCAACTAGCATGTGATGGTCTTTTAGAAATGGAGTAGCTTGAAAGGAACAGGTTTAGGGAGAGGGATTAGTAGTTTTGTTTTGGATGTGTTAAGGTAAAGATGCCAATTAAACATCCAAGAGGAAATGCCAAACAAGCAGTTGGAATAGGAGTCTGGAGTTCCGTGAAGAGATCACAGCTAAAGATGTAAATTTGGAAGTTGTCAGGACAGGATGAGACAATCTAGGGAATGATTTATCTAAGAAGGAGTCTGAGAATCAAGCTTTTGAGGTACTTCATCAATTGACAAATATTTAATATTTAATATTGTTGAATACTTAAAGTATACCAGGAGCTTTCTTCTCCATTGGCTCATGTAGGTGGCACAACTCCGCCACATTGTATAGAGATTGAAAAAGAGATTCGGATATAAGTCCTCCACAAGTTCACACCCTCAGTTGATGTGGGATGTAGAACTCAGGACACTGTGCTGAAGAGCACAAGACTATTGCCACTACATCAAGAAACTTAAAAAGAATAGGCTGGGTGTGGTGACTCACACCTGTAATCCCACCGCTTTGGGAGGCCAAGGCGGGTGGATCACCTGAAGTCAGGAGTTCGAGACCAGCCTGGCCAACATGGTGAAACCTTGTCTCTACTAAAAAATACAAAAATTAGCTGGGCCTGGTGGCAGGTGCCTGTAATCCCAGCTACTCGGGAGCCTGAGGCAGGAGAATCACTTGAACTCAGGAGCCGGAGATTGAAGTAAGCCAAGATCGCGCCATTGTACTCCAGCCTGGGTGACAAGAGCAAAACTCAGTCATACACACACACACACACACACACACGCACGCATGTGCACACACACAAGAATATTCATGTACATTAAGGGAACTCTGATCTTTAACTTACTTATTCTTCCCTTTCACCTACTCTTTGGGTGGGTGGGACCATTCATTCTGATTCAAGCTGCTAACCCCACATCTGGTCCCAGGGAGGAATGATTACTCCCAAAATTCTAGTCCAGTCATTCTCAAATTTTAGAGAACATAAGGGTCACTAGAATATATGTTAAAAATAGATTCCAGCCTGCCTGTATCCAGCTTCTATTGCTCTTATCCACAAGCATACTTTTTCCTACAAAAATCTATTCATTCAGTCAAGTATAATGTCACTGCTCAGAAATCAGGGTATTTTTTGTGTGTCATAATTGCCTAAATACTCAACAATTTCCATCTTTATTATGACATCTATCTGCCAAAGAAATTCTAACTCATTTGGGTAAATGAAATAAACATCTAGCTGATCAGGCCTTTTTAAGTTTGTGGACTGCGCCATTTAAGCGGAAAAAACATTGTGATTTTAGTCAGTTGACAATTCTTAACCAGGTATAATTTCAGAAATACCCATAGGCCAGAAAGGTGGGCCATCATACATTGCTCTATTGTGTTTTCACGTAAAGCACTCACATGCCTTAAAAGGGAGTCTGCATCTGACCCTACTTGGCATCCACCTGGGTAAAGTGACCCTGTGCATATATTAGTGGAGGACTGTTATGGTTTGGTGAATAATAAATCTAAAATGTCCTATCCTGGATCAAGTACTAGCACCACTAGGTGTTTCTTGAGCCAACTGTAATTATAACACCTTCCTGTACCCAACTGTGGCAAATTCTACTGGTCCCCATCAGGGCAGAACATGACCTGATGTTAGGGATAGGGGATTTACTTTCAATTTTTTTATAGTGCCACCATGTGCATATTCACAATGGACAAATTCACAATCTGTCCCTAACCCCTAGAGGTTTTCAGGAATGCTTGCTTTGTAGTACTCCAGAAAAAGGTCAACACCTTGACAGAACTGTCTCTGAACATGGGACAGTACTCAATCACTTGTTAACATCCACCATCTCTTGACCTTTCCTACTGGATTCAGAAGCTGAATGACCAGGGCTGGAGTTTATGACAAGGGTTTGGCTGTAGAATATTTTCATTGCATGTTATTAAGAGATAAGCGAGTAAGTATACCACTCCTAGCACCTTTACCATGTCTCACCACCTAAACTGTCTCCTGGGTTTGAATTCTGTTTGACTAAAAAAAAGATATATTAAATTGGAAGTTCTGTAACACTGTTTACTGATACCCTTTTTCGTGGGTTCCCTCATGTACCAGAAACTATGTGTTGTATAACAAAACTTTTCCACTTCAGGAATATTTTTCAGAAATATGTGCAAAATATGGAAGGTCATGATGAATGATTTCTTGACCTCTAAAAACCAAAAATTTCTCTAACCCATATGATTTATCTGATGTCAAACAAAGTCTCTTGTGTATGATGTTTGCTACAACTGAATGGTTTTTCACATATCTTAAGAATAGGTTATCTGGGCTGGGCATGGTGGCTCACACCTGTAATCCCAGCACTTTGGGAGACCAAAGCAGGAGGGTTGCTTAAGGCCAGGGGTTCAAGTCTAGTCTAGGCAACATAGTAAGACTCCTGTCTCTATAAAAAATTTTAAAAATTAGCCAGGTGTGGTGATATGCGCCTGTAGTCCTAACTACTCAGGAGGCTGAGGTGCAAAGATCCCTTGAACCTAGGAAGTTGAGGTTGCAATAAGCCATGATCACACCACTGCACTCCAGTCTGGGTGAGAGTGAGACCCTGTCACTTAAAAAAAAAAAAAGATTTTGTTTCCAATGTGGAGTAATGACTTGTGACTGAAGGGTTTTCCACATTCAGTTCTTTCACAACCATGCTATTTCCAATGAGACAGAGAACTTGGAAGGAGGCTCCGCTGGATAACTAGCCTGGAGGCTGAGCCAAAAAGAAAGCTAGATATAAATGCTGGCCCTGAGTGAAAAATTTTCAACCAGCTTAGCAAAATGTGAAGCTGCTTTTCTACTGCTGAAGTGCATAGTTACGTAAATTTACAACTAGCCTTCTAGCTTCAGATCTAAAGGGACAGTTTTAACAGCACCTACTTGGAATATAAAAGGAAATCCACTTTCCCTATTTGCAGACAAATATTAGGACTGCATTCATCATTCACTAATGAGGAAAAAGCAAATGCATGTGAAGGCAATGTAAAGCCTCGGCAACTTAAGGCAGTAAAAGAACATATGAAAAAAATTCAAGAAAAATGAAATTCAAAAAGAGAAACAAAATGCACTGCCTTCAGTAATCCTGAAAGTAAAAAAACAAACAAACAAATAAACAAAACTGAAAGGAAACCAAAATGTAAAACATTATACAGTTGGCCCCCTGTATTTGTGGGTTCTGCATCCACATATTCTGAGGATATGGAGGGCTGACTGTAAGGGAGCATCTGAGGGCTTCAACATCCGAGGTAGGGGCATCCTGGAACCAATTCCCTGTGGATACGGAGGAATGACTATATATGGAAAAGGAGGTCTAATTACATATACAGAACAGAGGAAAATAATCTTACAGAATACTAGGTGTAACTTTATGCCAATGTTTGACAGAATAGTAAATATGATTTCCAGATATATATTAGAAAAATTTACACAGTAGAAAACCTGAAGAACAAAACCATTGAAAAAATCTGCAAGGATGCTAAAATAAGTCCCTCTACCCTGACACATCCAAACACCAGTAAAAAAACGTATGTATATATGACGTGTCATTTCTAGCTAGCCTTCAAGGAATAACTGCTATATTACACACACTCTTCCAGAGTAATAAAAGAAAAAAAACTTCCAAATTCATTTTGCACAGCCAGCAAAACATTGGCACATTGAATCTACTTCTGAACTTAAAAAAAAAAAAAAAAAAAGGCCAGGCGCAGTGGCTCACGCTGGTAATCCCAGTACTTTGTGAGGCCGAGGTGGTTGGATCACCTGAGGTTGGGAATTCGAGACCAGCCTGACCAACATGGAGAAACCCTGTCTCTACTAAAAATACAAAACTAGCCTGGCATGATGGCACATGCCTGTAATCCCAGCTACTCAGGAGGCTGAGGCAGGAGAATCGCTTGAACCTTGGAGGTGGAGGTTGCAGTGAGCCAAGATCATGCCTTGCCACTCCAGCCCTGGCAACAGAGCGAAACTCTTGTCTCAAATAAACAAACAAATAAATTAAATAAATAAATAATAAATAAATAGATTTATCCCAGGAATACAAAAATTCAATTATTGGAACTTTTGGATTTTATAACTTGATAGAACTTACGCAACTATTCAATAAAACTTTAATATAATATTTATTACAGTATATACTAGGTGTCAAGCACTGTTTTAAGTACCTTACACATACTAATTTAATCCTTGCAACCCTATGAAGTAGCTCCACTTTATAGATGGAAGAGCTGAGACACAAGGAAGCTAGGTGATTTTCCCACAGTTACACACCTAACAAAGTGGTGGACATGCAGATTTTTTTTTAAGACAGGGTCTCACTCTATTGCCTAGGCTGGATTGCAGTGGTGCGATGATAGCTCACTGGAGCCATGACCTCCCAGGCTCGGGCAATACTCCTGCCTCAGCCTCCTGAGTAACTAGGACTAAAGGCATGCACCAATACACCCAATTAATATTTTTTTATTTATTTAGGGACAGGGTCTTGACGTGTTGCCCAGGCTGGTCTCAAACTCCTGACCTCAAGTGATCCTCCTGCCTTCACCTCCCAAAGCACTGGGATTACAGGTGCGAACCACCACACCTGACTGGATCCAGAATTTGAACCTAGGTTGCTGGGCACAAACACATGGTTTTATTTTTTTCTTTTGAGATGAAGTCTTGCTCTTGTCACCCAGGCTAGAGTACAATGGTGCGATCTTGGCTTACTGCAGTCTCCGCCTCCCAGGTTCAAGCAATTCTCCTCCCTCAGCCTCCCAAGTAGCTGGGATTACAGGTGCCTGCCACAACACCCAGCTAATTTTTGTACTTTTAATACAGACAGGGTTTTGCCATGTTGGCCAGGCTGGTCTCGAACTCCTGACCTCAAGTGATCTGCCCGCCTCAGCCTCCCAAAGTGCTGGGATTACAGGCACATGCCACCGTGCCCAGCCCAAACCTGTATTGTTAACCACTATATTACCCTGCTTCCTCTAGAAATAAGATTAGAAGGAAACTTCCTAAATGCAACAGAATATTTATCAATATCCAACAATGACTGCAAATGAAAATATGAAATACTAAAAACATCCCTCCTGAGATTTAAGAACAAGACATAGAAGACCTGTTATCTACTACTCAACATTTCTGGAGGTTCTTGCTAATGCACAACGTAAGTGGCATAAGATTGAAAATAAGGCCAGCTCATACCTGTAATCTTAGCACTTTGGTAGGCCAAGACAGGCAGATCACTTGAGCCCAGGAGTTCAAGACCAGCCTGGGCAACATGGTGAAAACCCATCTCTACAAAAAATACCAAAAGATTAGCTGGGCATGGTGGCATGTGCCTGTAGTCCCAGCTGCTTGGGAGGCTGAAGTGGGAGAATCACCTGAGCCTGGAAAGTTGAGGCTGCAGTGAGCCATGATCACAGCACTGTATTCCAGCCTGGGCAAGGAAGTGAGACCCTGTCTCCAAGAAAAAAAAAGAAAATTTAAAGCTAAAGGAGCCATTAATTTATTATATACCTAGAAAATGAAACCAAAAAATAATTAAAACTAAAAATAATTCAGCAACATAACCATCCAGATTAAAATTTTTAAAATTAAAGTTTATACTAGCAATAACCAATGTAATTTGAGGTATGGCTTTCAAATGCAGCCAATTTTCCTCCATCCAAAAGCCTGAGGCTTTTAAGGATGTCAAGGCAATGTTTAATGACAACTACACCACATTGGTGTAGTATTCCCTATATCTACTCTTTTTTTTCCCTACTATTCCCACCTGAGTTATGAATAGTGCAGGTTCCCAACCTCTAAAGTGTTAGTGTGGTAGGCGATGAGCAGACAAGAATCAGAAGGTAAAACTGCAACATCCAATAAGAAGGATCATTCTATTGAAGACTTAACCAGAAATGTCCAGCTCAGGGTGGAGGGCTGGACCTATGTTCTCATATAGGGTTGGGCTTGTCCCTGGGATCTGGGAGCTTCCAAACTAAAACAATGAAAAAGTTCTATCTGCATATCTTCTAAAGGAAAACGGAAACACATACTAAACATATCGTTGAAAACAAATCTAAAATATATATTCATAAGTGGCAAATTTTCAGTTCTGTCCTGGGTTCAATGTTTTCAGGACTCCTATTCTTTCTAAACTTGCCTGAGATATCGCCCTAGAATCACATCTAATCTTATTTTCTTATGCCTCAACTCCACTCTTTCTTCTTTGTTAAAACATACACCACACCTCAAAAAATCTCCCTTCCAGATTATATAACTCACATGGTTCCTCTAGCCTCCTCCTCTACTCTGTCACACTGTGGATCCTGTAAACCTGTTAAATTTAGGGGATGGAAAGAGAAGGCGGTAGACACCAGAGGGAAAGGTCCCCCAGATCTGGGACATATTGCAAGGGTGGAAGGGAAAAGTTGTTCAAGCTCATGAACTGACATGTGATGGCAGAAGAAGAGAAAATCTTCTGAGATTTCTTTTCTTATGTCTTTGGGGAATGAAAGATGGTCCAGAAGACAATTATGATAATTAAAGGTACAGCTCTCATCTTTAAATTAAGATGGCAGTTGTAGGTAGATAGGACTAGTTGATAAGGAAAACAGATTACTGTGAATCTATTATCTTGCCACAAGTCTAGTCATAGTGAATTCCAAGCATCAGGGAATGTGGCTAGCTGGATTTTCAATCACCTATACCACTGCTATGAAAGTCAAGTCTTCTGTGCAGTAAATTTTGACACAGTTCTTAATCTGTTGATTTAGGAAGCAGGGTACAGTTAGCAAATTCAGAACTAGACTCAGCACGGAGGGAAAGTCCATATCAGTGGGATATGATTGCCCAACCCAATACCTAGATACACACACATTCACACACACACACACTCTCTCTCTCTTTCACATACACACACACACACACACACACACACAAATCCATTTGCATTTTGAGGATGAAGTAACAGTAGTAAGACTTCGAGGAGTATATGCAAAAGATATCAGTAAGATCTAGGTATGTGATATTCTATGAAGAGATGGACTTCCATCTTTACAATCAGCTGGTCCAGCTGGGGAGGGGAGAAAGATCGTGCAAACTTTAAGGATAATTCAATGTGACAGTTGAGATTTTAAAAATTATTTATTTAACAACTGGTATGTACAAAATACTATCTATATGGGAAAGAAATACCTACCTGACCTCAAAGAGCCTACAATAAGTTGGTATAGAAGTATACAGACGTGCAAAATTTACAAGGCAATTTAACAACAGTTACATATTGTAGCACCAGTGAATTCAAAGCACTGAGGTCAAATCAAGGGAAGTTGAAGAAAAATAAAAAAGTACTTGAAGAAGAAACTATTTCAGAGATGAAACGGATTTCAAAAATTGTGAGGGACAAAGATTAGCAAACAGAATAAAATGTTTTCTAGATAGGGAATGAAATTGATGAAAGGCTATGGATTAAAGTTTAAAGAGTAGATGGGGAGGGCCATAGCCAAGGGGCAGAAAGGCATGAATCAACCTTGTTGAATGACTTTGTATAAATGGTGAAATGTAGGAAGTAGAATAGAATAGAGAAGATATTATCTCTGTCTTTGAAAAGTGTGGAGTCTGATTATGAGATGCATAACTAAGAAATGAAATAGATTTTAAAAGTTAAAATTTAAAAGTAAAGAAATAAAAGGAAATCTACAATTAAATGACATGTGTAGTCCTTACCTTCCTAATAATGGGTAAGAACTGAAATAAGTTACTCCTACTCTCCCACCTTATTGATCCAAGGAAAAGCAAGTAGGAAATGGTCCACTGTGACTATTGGCTCTGGGAAACCACTAAGAGCATCCTTCTTATAAAGAAAGCTTAACTCAAAGGTCCTTGCTCTCTGTCTCAGAGAATCATACCTTAAGAAACTGACCAAGCCAGACCTGAGGGCTTCTCTCCAGTGTGAGTTCGCTGGTGGTGATTAAAAGTTGAACGCTGACTAAAGGCTTTCCCACATTCACTACATTCATAAGGTTTCTCTCCAGTGTGGACTCTCTGGTGCACAATAAGCTGTGAGCTGTCACTAAAAGCTTTCCCACAATCATTGCATTTATAGGGTTTTTCCCCAGTATGGGTTCTCTGATGTACCATAAGGCTGGAGCTATAACTGAAGACCTTCCCACACTCATGACATTCATAGGGTTTCTCACCAGTGTGAATTCTCTGGTGTATAATAAGATGTGAGTTTTGATTGAAGGATTTTCCACACTCATTGCATTTATAAGGCTTCTCACCTGTGTGAAGTCTCTGGTGCCGAATAAGACATTTACTCAGACCGAATGCCTTACCACACTCGCTACATTCAAAAGGTTTTTCTCCAGTATGAATTCGCTCATGCTCAACGAGTTGCGAGTTCTGATTGAAGGCTTTCCCACATTCACTACATTTGTACGGCTTTTCGCCAGTGTGGAGGCTCTGATGTCGAATAAGACATTTACTCCGACTGAAGGCTTTGCCACATTCACTACACTCATAAGGCTTCTCTCCAGTGTGGGTTCTCTGATGGTCAATGAGATTTCTATTGGAACAGAAAGCTCTCCCACACTCATTACATTTGTAAGGTTTCTTACCAGTGTGCAGGACCTGATGTCGAACAAGACTTTTACTTCGAATGAATGCCTCTCCACACTCATTGCATTCATAAGGTTTCTCCCCAGTATGGGTTCTCTGGTGGTCAATGAGTCGGGAACTCTGAGTAAAGGCTTTTGCACATTCATTACATTTATAGGGTTTCTCCCCATTATGGAGTCTCTGATGTTGAATGAGATGGGAGCTGTGCCTATACGCCTTTCCACACTCACTGCATTCATAGGGTTTTTCCCCTGTGTGGGTTCTGAGATGAACAATGAGCTGGGAGGTTTGCCTGAAGGTCTTCCCACACTCATTACACTCATAGGGTTTCTCTCCAGTGTGGATTCTCTGATGGCCAATAAGGTGAGAACTCCGATTGAAAGTTTTGCCACATTCATCACATCGATAGGATTTCTGTCCCTTTAAAACTCCTTCATGTTCAGCAGGACTGGAGGACAGATGTGGATGTTCCCCAACTTCCTTATATTTGTCGTATCTGTCTTTTGTGGACTTTTTCTTATCTTCATCTGTTATTTCCAAGAAATCATTTTCTAGCTTGCTCCCTTCTTCATCTGAGGTTTGTCCTTCTAACTCTTTGGAAGTATCTTCACAAACATCTCCAGTCTCTGCTCCCCCAGGAACCATCCCAAAGAGTCCCCCTGATGTCTTGTTAGATGACTCTGATCCTTTAAAAATTTCCTGCTTTGGAGTCAACTCTGAACCCTTCATCATGTTCTCACCTGCTGCCAAAAGAAAGAAGACAACAACTTTTACCTATTTCTTATCCTGTTTAAGAAACAGAATCATTAACAGATAACGTACCTGAAAAAAAGTCACATTATGGTTAAGAAATGAGATGACACATTGAGAACAAGAGCAAAATGGGAAATATTAATAGCTCATTTTCCCCCTAGGAATAGAAAAACAAGAAAGGGGAAGATGGTCAGTGAAGATGGGTGGAAAAAAGATACTAAGCCAGCACAACCAAGTCAGAAGGGTCATTGGAAAGCAAAAAACTGGATTGCAAAGCATGCTGTGATCTTACAGAAGTTACTCTCGTGCTGTGTCGCCTTAGTAAAGTGATGAACTCTAAGATCCCTTCCAACCATAACATTGCATGGTTCCATTGTTATCAGAAAACATGTTGGGAGAGAGGAGGCTGGCAAATACCTCAAGCCAAACGTAAGAAAGAGACAGGGAAAAAAATGAGAGTGAATTGACTGGAAATTTCTATTATGGAGGTATGATAAGAAAAGTGTACAAAAAGAACAGATCTTATATGATAAACTCATCAACCAAAGGATCTGCCTTTCCAAGAAGCCCTTTCAGGAAACTGCTCTGCCCCAGTGTTTGCAGAGAGGGATGCTTAGGCAACCACGCTTTGTGCCAAGTGACCCTGAGCATCCCATGATGGGCCACAGGTGATTGGACCGGCACCAGGTACTAGACTCAATGGCAGCTTATCTGTAGGTTAGGCTTCAGCCTCTGCTGTGGCCTGGGCCAAAGCTCTGCCCAAATGAGATGATGGGTAATGGCTATAGCAATGGAAGTCCATCTCTGAGGAAATTTGGAACTGGAGGTAGGGCAAAATTAAGGTACTTATGAGTAGCAGTGGAAGCTGAAGTGGTGCATGGAGAGAAGCCAAGCCATTGAGAGATACAGCAAGCAACAAGTATAAAAGAACAGAAAGTACAATTAGAAAAGAGCCATGAAAAGGACAAAAGATTCACAGCGAAGAAAATGGGCAGCAGGAGGAGGACAAGCAGAGATAAAACAGATATACTGCGAGCAGCTGCATTACATTCACACCGGAACATGGGCATCAACATGCATTTGCTTTTGCTGTTCAGGCTCCCAGGGTCAAGGCCCTGCTTTCCACAGTCTGGTCTAGCTGATCTGTTTCTTCCAGGTTCTCATTCCTTTAAGCCTATGACTCACAGCTCCTTATTTAACAATAACTTGAGTGGCTCTCTTCCTTACAACTAAGAAGTCCTACCTAAATCACACTATATCAATTCATAATGAGGTGAAGAGAATGCTGATCATTGTTGAATCTCAGTGATGAATGCAAACAGGGTCCCTATATTATTCACTCTAGTTTATCTATGTTTGGAAATTTTCATAGTAAAAAGTTTAAAGAGACAAGGAATATAGAAAAGAGAATGTGCAGCATGCAGACTCTAAGTGACTAGGAAACAGAATCATTACCCAAGGAGGCCATGCTACGGTCATTTTCTGGTATCATGTTCCACTGCAGGGCTCTCTGACTGAGTGCGGGACATTTCCATTTCTTCTGAGTATAGTCCACACACAGGTCCTCATATGCCACAGTATCCTGGAATGACAAGCTTCAATTGCTCAGGAACATTCACAGCCTGAGGGGCAGAGTCATCAGGGGTACAGAGGGCACAGGGTATGGGGTCTTCGTGGGCAAAAGCATGGGAGAGAGGAGCTGAGATGACACCCCAAAAGGACAAGTCCAGCGCAAGATAGAGTCCATTACCTCCAGGGGAAGTAATGAGGCAGGAGAGCCACAGGAACAGTCTTAGATAGGGCAGAGTCCTGGGGGTGAGACCTCTAGCCATTCCTGGACCAGACTAATGGGGATGTGGTAAAAACACAAAGAACCAAGCTCACCTGGGGCCTGACCATCCGAAGTCCTGAGTTCCCCACTTGAGGAAGGGTAGGAACTGGAGAAGCACATTGAGCTGAGGGGGGAAAGAAAGCTATGAGTGGGACAAGCCCTACTTCCGGCTCCCATAAGATCTATATTCCCAATAAGTGGATTCAAGAGAACCCAGGCACCTCCACACACACTGACTCTTAACCTCTTCCATAAGGCATTATCCCAAGAGTGCTGTGAATTTTCCCTGGAGGGCACAGTACAAGGTCCCGTATCAAGCTGAGAACTGGGTGTTCCTCCAAGCCCTCACTCTCATCAACCTTTTTCAAGGAAGCTATTCTGGCCACACTCTCTCTCCCATGGCTTCCCTAGCACCAGCCAGCCCTGATTTTCCCCTCACAGTTGTGGTTCCTCATGCCCTGGTTCCTCTTCCTGCTCCTGCCCTCTCATTATAGACCCCTTAAAACTCAGGGCCCAGTGCTTCCTTGTTCTTTCTGTCAGCAATCTGACCAACTCTCATTGCTTTAATACCGCTCTCACAATTCTTACTTCTCTCCTAGACCCCTACCACATGCCTCCTGTTGCCTATGGGACATTTCACTTGGGGGTCCTGCAACATCTTAAGTTCAGTGTCTAGAATGGATGGATGTTCTAGGCTAAGGTGGGAGGCTGGCTTGAGGCTAGGAGTTCAAGACCAGCATGGGCAACATAAGGAGACCTCTTTTTCTTCCTTCACTCTTCTCTTCCCTTCCTTCACTCTTCCCTTCCCTTCCCCTTCTCTTTTCTTTTCCTTTCTTTCTCTTTCTCTCCCTCTTTCTTCCTTCCTTCCTTCCTTTCCTTCCTTTCTTTCTTTCTCTCTCTCTCTCTCTCTTTTGAGACAGAGTCTCACTCTGCTGGAGTGCAGTGGCATGATCATGGGTCACTGAAACCTCTGCCTCCCAGGTTCAAGCAATTCTTATGCCTCAGCCACTGGAGTAGCTGGGATTACGAGTACCTGCCACCACACCTGGCTAATTTTTGTATTTTTAGTAGGAAGGGATTCATCATGTTGGCCAGGCTGGTCTCAAACTCCTGACCTCAAGTGATCCACCTGCCTTAGCCTCCCGAAGTGCTGGGATTACAGGTGTGTGTGCCACTGCTCCCAGCAGGAGATCCCATTTCTATACAAAGTTAAAAAAAAAAAAAAGAAGCTGGTCATGGTGGCATGCCTGTAGTTCTAAGAGGCCATGGTGGGAGGATTTCTTGAGCCCAGGAGTTCAAGGCTACAGTGAGCTATTATGATTGTGCCATTGCACTCCAGTCTGGGTGACAGTGCGAGACCCTATCTGTCTTAAAAGAATAAATAAATAACATTAAATAAATAAATAAAATGTTCTTATCACCTTTCTTTCAGATTTCTCTATTTCTCCAATGATTCCATCATTGGCCAAAACAGTCTAATTCCCCTGCCTCTCCTTTCAAACTCAAGTTCCATGGATGTTTCCATGATAACATTTTTCATATTTATCCTTGCCCATTCCTCTCTTTGCACTTCAGGCATTAATTGCCTCACATCTATTCTACTGCACCAGCCTTTAACTAAAGTTCCTTCCCCTTCAATCCATAATGCTCACCTGTGTCAGAGTAATCCTCCTGAAATACTATTTCTAACACATTATCCTCTGACTCCCAAAATATTCCTGCCTCAATCTCAAGGTCCCGTACAAACAAGGCCCAGGTTCCCAAATACAGTCTTCCCTAACTCCAGCTCAATTAGGGCTCAAGGAATCCCCAGTTTAGGGTCCTTGTTGTATCTTCTAATGGCATGCCCACTACTTTACTCTCCCCTTCAAAATTCTTCCACATTTTTACTGCCCAATACACTGCTACCTCCTTCATGAAGCATCCCTTACCAGTTGCAGCCCACAATGATCTTGCTTTTTACCCGGCGATCACTTTTTCCAAGGCCCACATTGCTCATTTGTGACAGGATCAAATGCTTGAGGACAGATATCATTCACATGCATCTTATGAGGTTGCCTCTTCTTACACATGACTAACTTGTCCTACCACCTAGAGAGCAAGCTCTTTGAAATCAGTGACAATAGATGTACTACGTCCCTCTGGTCTCTGACAGTGCCTTTCCTATGATATGTCCTTGATGAAAACTTACTAACTACATGAATGATTAGAGAATAAGCAAAAGGAACAAACAGGGTCACTAGGGAAGGAGAACATACAGCAGGGCAATGAGGGATTCCATGAAGTAGGAGATGGGCAGATAAAGGAAAAGAGACTCCACAGGAGAGAAGGGAGGCATGACTTAAGGCCAAAACTGGGGAGATAAGTACCGAAGTCCCCATTGGGGGGGTGGTGTGTCCCTGGGTCATAAGGAGGCGCCTGGTGGGCTCCAGGGGCTGAGCCCCCACTGAGGGGTGACGTAGGAGGGGATTCCTTTGTTGCACCCAGAGCTGCTGTGTCCTCCAAATGCATTTTCTGTTTCTGTGCTGGGGCTGAAACCTAAAGACAGGGAAATACAATTGGGTTCAAAAGAGCATCCTTGAAGGTACTGAACCCAAAACCTCTAAGCAGCCCCCTCCAGAAAGAAAGCCAGGGAAAAGAACAGCCAGAGTGTCCTTCCAGCCCCACCACTACAGCCTACTGGGGGGAAAAAGCTGACAGCAGAATCTAAAGTTTGCAATTCTACTTGCCATCCCTCTGTTGACCCTCTTGGTAGGAGCTTGAGGACCAGATTCTATAACCATTTCCACTCTGTGTCAGGTCTTCAGACACATATTTTCTTATGAAGAACCATTTAAAAAGGGAGCCAGGAGAGCAATTCAGTACATTCTCTAGGGTCTTAGCTGACAGAAAAGAACAATCAGAAGTACAAAGGATAGGCTGGGCGCAGTGGCTCACATCTGTAATCCCAACACTTTGGGAGGCCAAGGTGGGTGGATCACCTGAGGTCAGGAGCTCGAGACCAGCCTGGCCAACATGGTGAAATCCTGTCTCTACTAAAAGTACAAAAAAATTAGCCGGGCGTAGTGGCATGCAGCTGTAGTCCCAGCTACTTGGGAGGCTGAGGAAGGAGAATCACTTGAACCTGGGAGGCGGAGGTTGCAGTGAGCCAAGATCAGATCAGATCAGCGTGAGACTCTGTCTCAAAAAAACAAAAACAAACCAAAACAAAAACAAACCAAACAAACAAAAAAGGAAGTACGAAGGATGTAAAAAAAAGATAAGTATGTGTATGTGCATGAGCACAAATAATGCTACTGACACTAACAGCTGAAGCAATACCCAGAACAGTGGCTGGCAAACCTGGAGAGCTTTTCCAATTTCTCTGAGCAAAAGTGTCTCCTCTTCAGAGAAGCTTTCCCTGAGCACACTGACAAAGCAGGGATAGTCAGACTCAATTAACCAATTATAATTTCTAGATTGCATGTATTAATCTTTAAGTAATCTTACTTAGGTCTTTATTGTCTATGTTTCCCCAACAGAGTGTAAGTTTTTTGAGGGTAAGAACTTTTGTCTTGATTACTAGCTCCAAAACAACACATAGCCCTACAATGGTGCTTGATTAATATCTGCTGACTGACTTCCTCTTGATATTTTCCTAAGACTTTAAGGTTATCTGCAAACTCCGTTTTCAATATGTACTACCTCTCCCCCATAATTTATATTTAAAAAGGCAAATAAGATCAGACACACTAACCGGTAGAAACCTTGAGAATACCTCAGAACATAGACATTTTATTTCTAACCCTTGCTTATTGTCATCAAACCGACTCCTCACAATCTCATGGTTACTCCTTTTAACAGCATGTAGGGCAGAAAAACCTAACCTATTATCTAAATAAGGCACACTTTAAAGTTCACTTGCTCTGGTATGTACACAGCACACCATAAGGTAAAAATAAGTTCTTCAATAAACCACACAGGATTCGCCCTATTAGGCTGTATCTGCTGAGATGTTAAGGGACTCTCTCCTTTAATATATACCTCACCAGTGTAGTGGTAGGACCAGCAGGTTCCCTGGATTCTGTAGTTCCCAAGCTTTCCCACTGAAACGTTCTTTGAAACTGAAAGACTCTCTAAAATGGGAGTCACAGCTCTTCAGTACAGGAGCTTTGGGTATTGGCATAAGATAGAACTTACTGCATTGTGATAATTCAACTTTGTAATTCACTAATAATTTAATCCTGGTAAAGTTCCTGTTCATTATCTAGGACTTCTATATGGTTTGGATTTGTGTCCCTGCCCAAATCACATGTTGAATTGGAGGAGAGGCCTGGTGGGAGGTGACTGGATTATGGTGGTGGCGGGGGTGGGGGGGAGAGGGGGACAGATTTCCCCCTTGCTGTTCTTGTAATAGTGAGTTCTCATGAGATCTGATTGTTTAAAAGTGTGTGGCACTTTCCTCTGTGTGCTCTCTCTTTCCTGTCACAATGTGAAGAGGGTCCTTGCTTCCCCTTCACCTTCCACTATGATTTTAAGTTTCCTGAGGCCTCCCAGTCATGCTTTCTGTTAAGTCTGCAGAACTGTGAGTCGATTAAACCTCTTTTCTTCATAAATTACCTAGTCTCAGGTAGTTCTTTACAGCAGTGTGAAAATGGACTAACGCAGAAAATTGGTACTAGGAAAGTGGGGCAGTGCTATAAAGATACCTGAAAATATGGAAGCAACTTTGGAACTGGGTAACAGGCAGAGGTTGGAACAGTCTGGAGGGCTGAAAAGAAGACAGGAAGATGTGGGAAAGTTTGGAACTTCCTAGAGGCTTGTTGATTGGTTTTGACTAAAATGCTGACAGTGATACGGATAATGAAATCCAGGCTGAGGTGGTCTCAGATGGAGATGAGAAACGTATTGGGAACTGGAACAAAGGTCATTCTTGCTCTCCTTTAACAAAGAGACTGGCAGCATTTTGCCCCTGCTCTAGAGATCTGTGGAACTTTGAACTTGAGAGAGATGATTCAGGGTATCTGGCAGAAGAAATTTCTAAGCAGCAAAGCATTCAAGAAGTGACCTGGCTGTTTCTAAAAGTGTCCACTCATATTTGTGAACAAAGAGATCTGAAACTGTAACTTACATTTAAAAGGGAAGCAAAGCATAAAAATTTGGAAAATTTGCAGCCCGGCCATGTGGTAGAAAAGAAACACCCATTTTCTGAGGAGAAATTCAAGCCTGCTGCAGAAATTTAAGTAAAGAGGAATCAAATTTTAATGGCCAAGACAATGGGGAAAGTGTCTTCAGGGCATTTTAGAGACATTCACGGCAGTCCCTCCCATCACAGACCTGGAGGTCTAGGCGAAAACAGTGGTTTCATGGGCCAGGCTCAGGGTCTAGCTGCTCTGTGCAGCCTCAGGACATGGTCCCCTGTGTCCCAGCCACTCAGCTCCAGCTGTGACTAAAAGAGGCCAAGGTATAGCTCAGGCTGTGGCTTCAGAGGGTGCAAGCTCCAAGCCTTGGCAGCTTTCACGTGTTGTTGGGCCTGCAGGTGTGGAGAAGGCAAGAGTTGAGGTTTGGGAACCTCCTCCTAGATTTCAGAGCAGGTATGGAAACACCTGGATGTCCAGCCAGAAGTCTGCTGCAGGGGTGGAACTCTCATGGAGAACTTCTACTAAGGCAGTATGAAGGGGAAATGTAAGGTTAGAGCCCCCATACAGTCCCACTGAGGCATGCCCTAGTGGAGCTGTGAGAAGACAGCCACCATTCTCCAGACCCCAGAATGGTAAATCCACAAACAGCTTGCACCATGTGCCTGGAAAAGGTGCAGGCACTTAATGTAGTTGGTGAATGCAGCCATGGGGGTTACACCATGCAGAGCCACAAGGGCTAGTACGCCCAAGGCCTTGGGAACCGATCTCTTGCATCAGCATGCCCCGGATGTGAGACATGGAGTCAAAAGTGATTATTTTGGAGCTTTAAGACTTAATGACTACCTTGCTCAGTTTTGGACTTGCATGGGACAGGTAGCCCCTTTGTTTTGGCCAATTTCTCCCATTTGGAATGGGAGCATTTACCCAATGCCTATATCCCCATTGCATCTGGGAAATAACTAACTAGTTTTTGATTTTACAGGCTAATAGGTGGAAGGGACTTACCTTGTCTCAGATAAGACTTTGGACTGTGAACTTTTGAGTTAATGCTGAAATGAGTTAAGTCTGGGGGACTGTTGAGAAGGGGTAATTGTATTTTTCAATGTGAGAAGAATGTGAGACTTGGGAGGGGCCAGGGGCAGAATAATAATGGTTTAGATTTGTGTTCCTACCCAAATCTCACATCGAATTGGAGAAGGGGCCTGGTGGGAGATGACTGGATCATGGGGTGGATTTCCCCTTGCTGTTCTTGTGAGTTCTCATGAGATCTGATCATTTAAAAGTATGTGTCACTTCCCCCTGCATTCTCTTCTGCCACAGTGTGAAGAAGGTCCTTGCTTCCTTTTTGCCTTCTGCCATGATTGTAAGTTTCCTGAGACCTCCTGGTCATGCTTCCTGTTAAGCCTGTGGAACTGTGGGCCAATTAAACCTCTTTTCTTCTTAATTATTCAGTTTCAGGTAGTTCTTTATAGCAGTGTGAAAACAGACTAATACAGAATCATAGGTTTCCTTTCCTTGAAAACATGAAAAACTCATTCTAATACAGCATTCCACAGCAAGACCCTAGAGAAAAGCTGTTGGCTTAGAAACTAGGGAGATGGAAAATCCTGGTCCTCACATTTGATGGTAATCAGAAACAACCACATTTCAGCTAAATCTTTTGGGCAAGGGAATGCTTACTACAGGTGTTCACTTCACTTGTCAAGTGGAGATAATGATTACTGCACTGCCTGTTTTGTAACCCTGGCAGGAGATGAAAAAAGATACAGGAAACAGGCCAGGCACGGTGGCTTACACCTGTAATCCCAACACTTTGGGAGGCCGAGGCGGGAGGATCACAAGGTCAGGAGATCAAGACCATTCTGGCTAACACAGTGAAACCCTGTCACTATTAAAACTACAAAAAATTAGCTGGGCGTGGTGGTGGACACCTGTAGTCCCAGCATACTCCTGCTGAGGCAGGAGAATGGTGTGAACACAGGAGGCGGAGCTTGCAGTGAGCTGAGATCGTGCCACTGCACTCCAGCCTGGGTGACAGAGTAAGACTCTGTCTCAAACAAAAAAAAAAAAAAGAAAAAGAAAATACAGGAAACAAAAAAATTCTGCAAGTTGCATGACTCTGCAGCCCAGTGGGGATCACTGTACAACCCTTTCCCAGCCACAATGTGCACACATGTACATGCTCCTTCTGCAGCAATAAAGTGGCTTGCTCCTGATAAGCAAAATGACTCCAATTTACTTGGACCCTCCTTTATCTCCTCTTGGCAAACTTCCATGGAAAAGCTTTGTTTATTCATTTAGCCATTCTGTAAACATTTTCTGAACCCCTACTGATGAAAGACAGTACTACCCTTATGTCTTCATGTCAGAAAACAACACTGACAGTAGTGGGAGAGTAAGAAATGGACTCCAGAGACCCTACTCCCAGGCTGGAGCCATGAGCATTCAGCTGCCTCACCTGTCAACTGTTAGTCATGTTCTTGGGTTGTGACTCAACAGTCACCCTTTTCTGAGGCTAGCTGGATAAAGCACTAGAACTTTTAATGGAGGAAGCATTCACTTCTTAAGCAAAACCAAGCAAGAAATAGGGAAATTTTCCTTCTGCCACCCTCACTAAATGTTTCTCTAAATATGTCTTCAGCCACCTGTCATTGACATGGCTGGCTCAGCTGCTCTCTAGACCCTTGTGACAGCTGATTTACTCATATGTGCTTACTTATTTACACAAAGAAAATGACGGTTGATAATGACAAATGTGTACTGCTGATAATCCTGGAAAAATGTCTAGCCCCAGGATCCTGATCAACTAGAACTGATTCCCTAGTGATATGTAATCATTTTTTAAAAAGCATTGAATAGGCTGGGTGTGGTGGCTCACACCTGTAATTCCAGCACTTTGGGAGGATGAGGCAGGTGGCTCTCTTTAGTTCAGGCTCTCTTTAGTTCTCTTTAGTTCTCTAAGATCAGCCTGGACAACATAGTGAAACCCCATCTCTACTAAAAATACAAAAATTAGCCAGGTGTGGTGGCTCACACCTATGATCCCAGCTACTAAGGAAGCTGAGGTAGGAGGATCACTTGAGCCCAGGAGGCACAGGTTGCATTGAGCCAAGATTGTGCCACCACACTCCAGTCTGGGCAATAGGGTGAGATTATCTCAGGAAAAAAAAGCATTGAATAAAATGATATATTGGGAACTTGGGAAATTTTCTGTACTGTTTTCCCCTGATAAAGTACAAATGGATAAAGTAGAGGGGACCTCTAGTCTACCCTGCTTCTATTATAGGGGAACAATTTAAAACTCATTAGGAAGAACTAGCTTATCCACGGTGTGATGATCTTTTGATGTGTCAACTTGGTACTAATCAAACATCAATACAGGTGTTGCTGTACACTATTTTAAAAATGTGATTAAAGTACATAATAAGCTTACTTTAAGTAAGGGAGATTATACTAGATAATTAATGAATGCATGAGCCTGATTCAATCAGTTGTAAGCCCTTAAAAGCAGAGCTAAAAGTTCCATGAAGAAGAAATTCCAGGCCAGGTGTGGTAGCTCATGTCTGTAATCCTAGTGCTTTGGGAAGCCAAGGCAAGAAGATTTGAAGCCAGGAATTCAAGAACAAGCCTGGGCAACATACCAAGACCGCATGTCTACAAAAATAATAATAATAATAATTAGCCTGGTGTGATGGCACATGACTGTGGTACCAGCTACTTAGGAGGCTAAGGTGGGAGGATCACTTGAGCCGGGAGGCTAAGCTTGCAGTGAACCATGTTCATGCCACTGCATTCTGGCCTAGGCAACAGAGCAAGACCCTGTCTCAAAAAAAAAAAAAAAAAAAAAAAAACCAGAGGAAGAACAAAGGAGACAAAAGAGGAAAGGACAAAGAAGAAAGAAGAAACTCCACCTGTGCACTGTAGCTTCAGCTTGTGCCACTGTTTTGGGCAGCCCTTGTCGATGGCCTGCCTATGTGTTTCAGACTTGCCTGGCCAGCCTCACAATTACATAAGCCACTTACTAGCAATAAATCTCTTTTTTTTTTTTTGAGATGAAGTCTCGGTTTGTCACCCAGGCTGGAGTGTAGTGGCATGATCTTGGCTTACTGCAACCTCTGCCTCCTGGCTTCAAGTGATTCTCTTGCCTCAGCCTCCCCAGTAGCTGAGATTACAGGTACATGCCACCATACCTAGCAAATTTTTGTACTGTTAGAGACTGGGCTTTGCCATGTTGGCCAGGCTGGTCTCAAACTCCTGACCTCAAGTGATCCACCCCCTTCGGCCTCCCAAAGTGCCGGGATTACAGGCATGAGCTACTGTGCCCAGTCAGCAATAAATCTCTTTACACATGCACGTGCACACACACACACACACACACACACCCCTCTCTCCTACTCATTCTACCTCTCTCACTGAACCCTGACTGAAACACATGATCACAGAGCTAGATGGCATTATGGTCCTAGAAACCAGATTTTCCAATGTGTCTTACTGCTCACTCTTCCCAACTATTCCTCTAGTTTAAATTACCTTGCCATTACATTTGCGAGAACTCCAGGAAATAGGGAAAACTTAAATTAGATTTAAAGATGCAAAAAGATCCCAGTTAGGTTTGGAGAGCTAGCAAAAGGAATAAATAATTACAAGGCCCCAAAATGTCACCTTTCAAGGAATCAAAGAGGCAGGAAAATAGAAAATTGACTCTGAGAAGTCCAAGGAAGTGAGCAAACAGAAGGTCTCAAATGAAGGCCTGTATTATCAGCATACCCAAAAGTCTGCCTTCCCCTGATCACCCTATTCTAACCAGCATGAAGATCCCCTGCCGGCCAGGAGTACCATGCAAATCCCCAGGATGAAGCTAGGCTCAGAACACAGTATCTTACAAGGTGAATCACACAGCTTAGCTGGGATGTGCATTTGTATTTATGGCTTGGAGCACAAAACTGTTTTCCCTCTATCCACAGGACAAGTTCAGGAACCCTTAAGGCAAACTGGCCTAGGGCCTGGCCTAGGGCCCATGCCTAGGCTAACCCAAGCATTAGAGAAGCATCAGGCCGCCATTCTAAACCCAACTGCTCACCTCCTCTGGTCCACTGAGGTGTCTCTGGAAATCCTCCACCACAGCCACAGCCTCCTCACCACTCTCAGGGTGATGCAGCTGCACCCAGGTACGGAGCTCCCCAGGGAGGATGCTCAGGAACTGCTCGAGCACCAGCAGCTCCAGGATCTGCTCCTTGGTGTGCACCTCTGGCATGAGCCACCAGTGGCAGAGCTCCCGGAGCCGGCTCAACGCTTCCTGTGGCCCAGACATCTCGTGGTAACATAATTGCCTGAAGTGTAGCCGGAAGATTTCGCAGACAGGAGGATGGTTCTTTTGGAGACTGCTGCCCTGCCCCCAGCTCTGGTTCGCTGGCTCCTGCTTCACAGTCAGGCGCCCCTCCTGCTTCTGGAAAGCAGTACTCCTGGGGATGAGGCCTAAATTTCCCCTGCCTGAAGTGGTCATTGTGACCCCAAAGAGAAGCTTGTTCCAGCTGCAATTGGTCCGATTAAAATGACGGTCTATAGTTCAGGTCTCAGGAGCTGTTTTTCAGGGTTGGAGAGAAGGGTGATGGTAGTGTTGCCTACAGAAACAAGAGTGAAATCAGAGTTCTTGGAATATTCAGCCCCAGGCTGATGACAATCCTCCACTGAGTTAAAAAACAAAGTTCCAGGAAAAAAGAACACAACTGGGCATTCTCGCTAAGCATCTCTCCAAATGATGCCCTTCTTAAAGTTTCAGTGGCTCCCATTACCTACAGGATAAAATCTAAAGGTCTATGCCTCGCATTCACAGCCCTTCACCACCTGGCCTTACCACTTCGCAACCAGCCACAACCCCAACCACTCACCCCAAGTACCCATGCAAGAAAGACAGCAATGGTCTCCAATGTGGGAAATGCAGTATACCTCAAAGGGTGCAAGAGAAAATACTAAGTTATTTAACTCCTATTTAATGTATGTTTTATAATGTGCATTACAATTTGTATAGTAGTACTCATGTTTAAATTACAAATAAACCAATGTAGGGAGTAGGTGATCAAACCTCTTCTGATAGAAATGCAAAATAAAGAAACTTTGGAGCTAGAGCTCTAGAGACACAGCTAGAAGCCACACATACTCTTTCTTTGAATTTTTCTTCTTCAACTTTTGACAAACTTGTCTGTCAAGATCATGAACAAAGGCAATTTTTTCTTGGTTTTTCTGATTGCCCCATCAGGAAGAGTGCTGGTAGCTTCCCTTTGTGTACCTCTCACTATAACCCTTTAACTGGTTTATGCCCAACTCACCACTCTCATCCTCCAAACTGCTGGATGGCCACCAAAGGAAAGGAACCAAATGGAATCAGAAAATACCAGACCTTTTTTTACTCAATGCACCTCCCCTAGAAAGCCTTCCTGACCACGCTAGGCTTAGACGGGTGGTTATCATCTCAGCGATCCCAAACTACCTTTTTCATTCAAACCTCTAGTAGAGCACGTCTCACACTGTAATCGTTTGTGGTTTACACGACTGTCTCCCCTGCTTTCTGGGAGGATACAAAGGGCAGAACTAACTTCCAGTCATCTTTGTCCACGTGTGTACATGGCACACATAATTGGGAAACGAATGAATATGATACATTTAACTGATACTGAAGTGGAGGAAAACTTTGAACGTTTGAAAATCAGCACCTTATTGGTAACTAGGGCATCTGTGCTGTGCTTCCAAATCACCAAGCGTCCCAGATCCCCCTCTCAATCTCTTTAAAAAGACAAAGAAGGACTTTAAAATAATCTGTAAACTCTGCTCTAAGATCCCACACGTGTAGAAAGTTCAGGCCATTCTCCTACTTCCCATAGTGTTCCGAATGCTCAGCACTTTAAAATCTCAATTGGATTTTTGCATTTCCAAGTCACGCTCCACGTTTGCGATTCTGAGCTTGGGTCTGACCCAAATCTGACGGTTCATACAGTTGCCCATTGCAAGAGCTGGGAAAACAGCGATCTACCTTTCGTGTTACACCAGGCTTCAGCAGCGCCGCTCACCTGGCCACGTCTGCCCTGTTCATCGCTGTACCCGCAGATACCCGGCTCCGTGCCACGCACGAATGGTCAGGGGTATGGGACAAAGAAGCGGCTCCACATTGGGCGGCTTCTGAGAGTCACGGGGACCGTGCCGCCTGCTGCCGCGAAGAAGCGCGGTCCGGGCCAGCGTCGGCCACCCGAGCTCCGGCCGCGCCTCCCTCCGCGCCCCGGCCCACTCGCAGTGGCACTCAGCACCGAAGCCGGACACCTCTACTGCCCGTTAAAGCAAAAACAATGGCCGAGCCGGAAGCGAAAGAGGCCTCGACTTCCGCCCCCTCCGGGATCCCGGAAGTCTCCGCGAAGGTGGGCGCGCGCGTCCCCGCACCCGGGAGAGCTGGCAGGGCTTTCTTCTTGGCTGTGCCCGGCCACCTGCTGCGGGCGGGGGCGGGGTCTCGCGAGGGCTCAGGTCACTCACATCCCGCTCTCAGGACATAGTCGGAGAATCCAGACGCGTCCCAGCTCTACCCCCTCTTCTCCAGGTGTCCTTGGGAAAGATACCCAACCTCCAAGCCTGTTTTCTCATCTGAAAAAATGCAGAGCATAATGCGTACCTCACAGGGCTGGGAGCACCAAACGAGGTAACAGACACTATACAGCAAAAGGCCTGGCATATCCTGAGCAGTCAGTTATACCATGTGTGATGCCCAATCTGAAGTCTCAGTGAAGGGAGCAGCAAGCATCTCCCATCTTAAAAATGAAGAAGCATGTCTAGAAATTGTGATATTTTGGCCCATAAATGTGGTTAATATTTCCTAAGACAGCACCAGTATTCTGGTGTCCATCTAGAGGTTCCTAGGGAGACCAAGGAGCAGATAAATTGAGATTGAGAAGGTGTGGGGACAGTTTGTAACCTAGGAGGCAGTTGTCTAGCCTCTGGGTGGCAGGTGGTACCCAGGTGAACTTCACTTTGAAGAATGGTTTACTACAGAAGTAGGATATGAACAGGTCCTTGTTACAAACACGATTGAGCAGACCCTGTGTGCTAATGACCATGGGTGAAGGGCAAAGGGTATGATGAGGTTAACTGTGTATCTTTATTATAGTGCAGGAGGTAGGTCCTTTACAGGGCCCAAAGTAAACAGTCTCCTGGACTGTCTAGGGATGGCAACATTTCAAAGGTGTCCTGGGCCTAACCCTGGCCCTGACATATGTTCCTCATATATCTGCATGAGCCAAGATAGAAACAAAGACACCAGAAGTCCTGCTCCAGAGTTTCCACAAGCTTAAAAGTAATGTCTTGGAGCAATCTTTGTCCATTGATCCTAATGGGTGGTTTCCCGTCATCAAGGTCCCCCTCTCCATTTGGAAATCTCACAAGGAGGTTTTGGCTGTTTAAAACCAGGAACCCCAGCCTCTGCCTGACATTGATGCTAGACATTGCCTACTGGCAAATCAAGACCTCAGAAGCTTAGGATTCTTGAGATGGAAGGCAAATCAAGGCCCCAGAAGCTTAGGATTCTTTAGGAGGAAATCTCCCAAGGCCAGGCTAAATGCTCTCAGACCTGATTTTCAGTTCTCCTTGACCATGTGTTGTCCTGCAGTCCTGGCTTACTAGTATAGGAGACACAAGGATTTGGAAACCCAGATTGAGGTTTTTTAATTCTTCAGAGCTGTTTCGTGCTCAAGTAGTTGTCTTTCATTGGCTGTAAGGACCAGGCCCATCTGAGCAGTGTGTTTAGACTTCAGAGGCACTTCTGTGACCAACACTGTGGGCTTGACCTGATCTACCATGACTGGATTGGGCGCCAGTGAGCAAGACACTCGATGATGCCTCAATATAGCACCTTAGGACACGTACCTTTGGGCCAAAGACAACCACAGAAAGCCTTTAGGAATTCTGTACTCCAACTCGATCTCTCTTAAAAACCATCACCCAAGCTTTGGTATGAGAGCTAACAAATAGGTAACTCAAGTTCTACATGCCTGAAAGGAAACTTACCGTCTATCCACAGCCCTGAAGCTCCAACCCATGTTCCCATCACTGTAAAAAAAATTATCATTCACCCAGGGACCCATACTAGAACCCTGGGTGTCATCCCGTGAGCTGAGTGACCAGGGACAAGTTACTTAGCCTGTCTGTGTGTAGCTTCCTTATTTGGAAAACGGGGATAATAATATACTCGAATTGTAGAGTTGTTGTGAGGATTGGATGAGATAAAATACATAAAGCACTTAGAATGGTGCCTGACATATTGTAAGTATTATAGGTGTTTTCTAGTATTGTGTTTACTATCCTTGTTTCCTCTCAGTTCAACCCCTATATTCATATTAATGTTAAGGCCTGTCACATTTGCGCTATATATATGTAATAATAAAAAAAAGAGAATATCTGTAGCAATTACTGTGCTGCTCTGCATCATCGCTGTCACTTCCCATGTTAAATCCTGCTTGGAGTGAGGGCAGCTATGAGAAGTGTGTCTCCAGGAACTTCCTGGATTTCAGACCACAAAGAGGCTGGGCATGGTGGCTTACACCTGTAATCTTAACACTCTGGGACACCAAGGCAGGTGGATCACTTGAAGCCAGGGGTTTGTGACCAGCCTGGGCAACATGGTGAAACCCTGTCTCTACAAAAAATTTAAAACTTAGCTGGGCTTGGTGGCACATGCCTGTAGTCCCACCTACTCCAGAGGCTGAGGTGGGAGGATCATCTGAGCCCAGGAAGTTAAGGCTGCAGTGAGCAGTGTTTGTGCCACTCCAGCCTGGGTGACAAGACCCTGTCAAAAACAACAGAACAAAACAAAAAACAAACAAACAAAAAACCCCACAAAGAGAGGAGCACAGGTCTGGAGAGTCTCTGTCCCCAAACTGCTCAGACGTTCTGACATCATCTGTGTGGATAGTCCCTTTTCAACAGCCAGATCACTCCTACACACCCTGAAAAGAAGGTGGGACCCTAGACACATGGGGTGGGTGGACCTGCCATGATATGGGAAGAAAACCCCAGTCCACTGTGATGGGAATGAATGGGGCCCAAGCCCTAACTAAGAGAAGGGAGAGACCCTCCTTTCACCTCGAAAACTCCTACTTATCCTTTAAAACACTGCCAGGAAGCCCTTTCTCCAGGAAGTCTTTTCTGCACTCCACCTAGATTAGGTGTGGCTTCCTTTTTGCTCCTGTGGTGGCCTGCCATGCTATGCTATTACCATAACTAATAGGTTATGGTCCCTATTGGATATACTGCATTAACACTGTGTACTTACTGGCCTCCCTACTGTACTGTAAGCCCCATCTTGGCTGACACCATATCTCTCTGGTTCACAGTTGAGTCCCCTGACACTAACTCTTGACATGGCTGTTCCTTTAGCTGGATGTGAGTGCCATATGGTCAGGCCACCATTGTTTTCATGGCATCCAACACAAAGTCCAATCTAGCTTCTAAGAAATGTGTCCGTGATCCAGGTTGCTGTGGAAGGCTTTTAACAGGGAATGACCTGATCAGTCTGGGTTGTAGAAAGTTGCCTGTGGTGGCTGGCTATATTGAGGAGCTTGGAGGGAATGAGACACGGACATCCCTTATAGCTGCTTGTCTACTTTGCACGCAGTGTCTCTACAACAGTATCACAGGATCACTGGTTTGCAGATGAGGATCCTGAGGCTTGGCAAACAGCCTAGTAGCTGAGTAACATTTCACTGGCTGAGACAGGTAAGTTAGGCTTTGATTTCTGGTCTTTAGACCATTCCTCCTTCTCTTCTTTCTATTGCAAGATGCTTTCTCTGACCTTCATTCATTCCTGTTTTTTAATTCCTGTCAGGCTTCTTCCTGCCAACGGTGTGCCAGGCCCTGTTAGGAGAGTGGGGAGGGTCAGTGATGGTCACCAAACGTAGCCTTGGGGGTGACTTGGTGAGAGGAAGGGTTTTCTCGGTGCTGGGGTCTCAGGGACTTCCTTGAGGAGCTGATCTCAGGCGAGTGAACCACCAAACCACACAGGCCTCTGAGCTTCCTAGAGGGAAATGGAAGTTGTTCCAAGTGTGCAAAGACCATGGAGGGGGTGGTGATATGGTTTGGATTTGTGTCGCTGCCCAAATCTCATGTCGAATTGGAGGAGGGGCCCAGTGGGAGGTGATTGGATCATGGGGACAGATTTCCCCCTTACTGTTCTCATGATAGTGAGTGATGTCTCATGAGATCTGATCATTTAGAAGTGCGTAGCACTTCCCCCTTTGCTCTCTCTCTCTCTCCCCTGCCACCATATAAAGAAGGTACTTGCTTCCCCTTCGCATTCTGCCATGATTGTAAATTTCCTGAGACCTCCTAGTCATGCTTCCTGTTAAGCCTGCAGAACTATAAGTTGATTAATATTGGACTACGGCTGGTTTGAGAAATAAAGGGAAAGGTACAAGGAGAGAATTTTAAAGCTGGGGGTCTGGGGGAGACATCACACATCGGCAGGTTCCATGATGATCTCCAAGCCGTAAAACCAGCAAGTTTATTAGCAATTTTCAAAAGGGGAGGAGTGTACGAATAGGGTGTGGTCACAGAGATCACATACTTCACAAAGTAATAAAATATCACAAAGCAAATGGAGACAGGGCGAGATCATATGGACCACAGGATGGGGGCAAAATAAAATTGCTAATGAAGTTTCGGCATGCATTGTTATTGATAGTATCTTATCAGGAGACAGGTTTGAGAGCAGACAACCCGTCCTGACCAAAATTTATTATGTGGGAATTCTTCGTCTAATAAGCCTGGGACGCTACAGGAGACCAGGGTTATTTCATCCCTTCCGGCTTCCAACTGTAAAAGAGCGGGCCAGCGCCTCAAGGGGGCATTTATAGACCATACCCTCAGGGCACATCTCTTTCGTCAAGAGGATGTTCTTGCTGAGAAAAAGAATTCCAGGACGATATTCTCTATTTGCCTTTGAAAGAGAGAAATTGGCTCTGTTCATCTGCTACTGGCAGTCAGATCAAGTCTTTTATCTCCCTTGTTCCTTGTAGATTGCTGGTATCCTGTTTCTTTTCAAGGTTCCCA